AAAAAAAAAACAACAAAGCAAATAAGATAAACCTCTGGGGCATGAATACTCAAAAGTATTCCCACAAAGGAAACTGTCTAGGAAGTACCTAAGTAAGGCTATTAAGGACATCAATCCATTTTATATGTGTGTGTGTGTATGACTTATATGTAAAGAATATTTTACAATTTTTAAACATCTTTATTTTGGGGTATTGGGATATGAACCCAGAGCCTTGTATTTGCCACGAACTTGCTCTAAAGTCCAGCCCTATTTTCTGTTCTTTTCTTGTGTATGTTTTTGAGACAGAGTCTAGTTATTTGGTTGAGGCTGGAGTTGAGCTCACCATATAGCCAAGGTTGGCCTAGAACATTCGGTGATCATCCTGTCTCATTGATCAGATTATAAATGTTCCACATGTCCAGCAGGCCCTAGTGTTCAATGCAGTGTGTAAATCTCTAAAAATAAAAAAATGGAGTTGAATATGACTCTGTCTCAACCTAGGTGGTTGGGTTTTTTTTTTTGGTCTTTTTGAGACAAGGTTTCACTACGCAGTTCAGACTGCCTTGAGCTCACTTTGTAGCCCAGGATGGTCTCGAATTTGCAACAACCCTCCTGCCTCAAGTACCTGAGTGCTGGGATTACAGGCATGCGCCACAACACCCAGTCTCAATTGCTGTCTCTGCACCCTCAGGGGCGGGGCCAGCCCTATTGATGTGTTTTTTATAGAATGGAGTACTACTCTGCCACAAAGAAGGAAAACCTTGAGACATTTCTCCATGAATGCACACACCCCAAGACCAGTGTTATGTAAAATAAATGGGTTACAGACATGTGAGTATTGCACTGTTTCTCTGGTGTGAGAAACAGAAAGTGTAAATGTAAGAACCAAAGTGTATAATAGATATTGGGAAATGGGAAGTAAATGTTCAAATGAGACGCAGCGGGTAGGGGGGAAAGGGACAAAACAGGAGAAAAATGGAAACAAATCTTTATAAATAATGAGGGAAAGTGGGGTTCAAAGGTGAAGAGAGGAATAAAAAGAGAATCAAGAATCATGTACAGGTTGTAATTCCCTTTTATTAATGTTATATAGATCTAAAATGTACAATAAAAAAATGCAGGGCTGGTGAGATGGCTCAGTGGTCTAAAGCACCTACTTAGAACAAGCTAAGCAAAGCACAGGGAC